TAGATTAATACCCCTAACTTATGGAGTAATAGATATACATATTATGATTGATATTCCTATTGGAGTATTATATTTGTAAAACAACCAGTTGATTGATTAGAGATGTTCAATAACAGCTATCGTCATTACAAGAGTATTGCTGGAGTGAAGGGAATATTTAATTATGGAATATCAATCCCAAGCGAAATTATAATGTATATTAATATGGTTAGAACATAAATGAGTTATATATTTTAATCAATATTATACCTTATTCTATCAAACAATAGTTATTGATCGAATGGTAATTGGTGTTAACTTATAAATTCGTTTATGGATTTAATAACAAGTTATCCAATTGTTAGTAAATATTAATCTATTAACCATGCAAGAATAGGAATTTATATAGGTTGAGAACCAATACCTCTATCCAATTAATCTAATAATCAAACAAGGCCATCTCCCTGTTTGGACATACTAATCGCTAGTATAAACCGAAGAGAGATAGGGAATTCAGCAAGTGTTATCTAGATAAAGTCTACGGATAACATACTAAATGTTTAACTTGACCCCTACTACTTATTTGTTATAATAAGTTAATACAGCCTATTGCCATATTCTAGATTAGTTATAACTGAGTATCCACATAGGCCTTATTCCAATAAATGAATTTATGAGGACCAAACCCTTACAGGATTCCATCTAATTTGTCACTGGTATGCACATTATACCTAATCTTGATACACCCATAATAGGGAAAGTATGGAGCTAGGCTATATTAACCACATACTATCCATATTAATCAGCTTATGATACACAATCATGTAGATTAATATGGTTATATTATTGATATCAAAATCTAAGCTATCCAATTGCATAGGTGTTATACTAGGTGGTTAGCCTTTAATCACAATTGATAGTAGGTATTCCGAGTCACAATTAGTATTGGAGATGAGGGGCCTATATACAGGAGAGAGTGACATATTACTAATATGTAGGCAAATTACATGTTAACCACTTGGTATAACACCTATGCAATTGGATAGCTTAGATTTTGATATCAATATTATAACCATATTAGGAATTTTTGTATCCATATTTTACTAGATTAGAAGATAATATAAGTATATGTGTTTAATAATGCACTAGTAAATGACCACAACAATATCTAGTAATTATCATATTGTATTGTAGCTAAATTAGTTATAACATGTTAGTGCCCATGTTACAACTCTATATCCTAGTATAGAAAGGATAGGGATTACTCAAAGAATAAATAAGAACTAGGACCAATCAAAAAGTAGCAGGGTATGGCTATTGATAATTCCTAGATAGAGTTTATTTGTCTTATCCTGATTGGCCCACCATGATAAATAGTTAAAATATTAATATTGATATAATAGTTGATGTACGGTCTATTAAGGGAAAACCCTATGGAGGGATATCCTATGGAGCGAATATTCATATTATAGAAATTATAATGGTTGGAAATTTAAGATATACATTTACCACATAAACTGATTACATTCACATTGGTACTTTTAAAGGTATTTGATTATGTAGCTCTGAATAACCCATGTTAATAAAATATTAGTTATTTACCAACCTCCTATGTCCTCACGAAGGTATATATCATGAGTAGATTAGGTATCATTAGGGATAACTCTATAATATCAACCACATCCTATTGTTATCACCTAGAATACGTTATAGAGGGTTAATCTATATTTAGCCTAATCCAAACACTTTAGGGTGTAAAATATAATAGTTTATAAGAGTAGGATGTGGTTGTTAGGGTTATATCTAGTATATATGTTAACTCTCTCTCGTTATTATAGGAGTTGAAATCTGTATAATATACCCTTTAGGAATATTGGCCAGATATCATGGTGGGCCATGATATTAAAATGTATTGAGACAATTTTTAAATATATGAAGTATTTACTATAATAACGAGTTGTTAATATCTAGGATATTGAAGAGGACCATATGTTTCATGGTTTAATATTGATAGTCTATCCATAACTAGGTAATTATTCCTATTACGGGATTATATCAATACATTATCAAAATTGAATCTCGGCTCTATTGACCGTATGATAGGAAAGACCTAGTATGGGACATGAATAATATATTAATAGGGGTCCATAATTTCCCATAACTAAATGGGAGATTGTCCCACTATGGTATGTTAATATTACCACGGTATTTTTATATGGGCTCTCGGACCACAAAGGAAAATTTATATAACACAATAAATTCCTTTTGACATTATAATTAGTTGAAATCTAAAGACTATAACAATAGGCTCATAGGCTAATATAGACCATGTAAATTGGCATTATAGGGAGTTGAAATCAACCTGATTTTACATTAATAATTATTTTAGTTCCGAGATTTCAACTAAGCTGAAACAAAGTGGGTCTTACTGATCATATATTATAAATAATCATCCTTTATAACATGATTTCTAGGTGACCAAATATCAACCTATCCCCACGTGGACTGTTGGGGTATTATAATAGGTCATCCTACAATTGGCCTAATGGGGTAAGGGACCAACACATTTAAGATGGAGGGAGAATAATATAGGGATTTAAATGTTATAAGTTACCTCCTATACGAATAATTATGGCCGAAGCTATACGGAAAGCTCCTTGTCAATATCAACCACTCTTGAAATTATAGATGACATTAACCTAAGATATACCCTATAAATCTAAGCATGGATAATACTATTATTATACCTAAATAGTTACCATGATATAAATCACCAAATGATAGAGGATTATAGACTTTATACTCAGTTTGATTGTAGTATGTTATCTAATGATATTACATTCACTCTATGCTTATATGGTAAACATATACCCTCCAATATACTAAATTGATAAAATTGTTGGTATATTTAATCCATAGTTAACCCTTCCATTATGGAGTTTATCTTAGCCTCCTTACAAAGGGACCATATACTAGTTATAGTTATCAATATTACATTATAATTGATTAATATCCCAACCCAATATTAACCTCATTCTACATATATAGTAATCATCTATATCAGTAAGAATAAATCTAATTTTAAGGACTAATGATCGAATTGGATAACCTAATAGTGATAGAACATATAAGCAAATTATTGACATTTTTATTTTGATAGCCTAAATTATTACCCAATCACACACTTATTAGGTTATCTACTATAACAAGGTCTTTTTATAGGAAGGAAACAAGGGGTTAGATAGTGGTTTGTTAGTATACTTATCCTATAGCTGGAATTACCACTTAGTAAATTTCTTATTATTATCATCACTATTTCGATCTTTAAAAGATAGGGATAAAACTTAAGTCTCCTATATATATATATACTCACTCTTTGAACATTATTTTATATAAGAAATAAATAATAACTCAATTAGAAAATAGGTAATAGTCATCCTACAATTAATGTGAACCATTAATTCACTCTAGGTTAATTAGCTATATGATATTGCTACAAGTATTATAGGATACAATAAACTAATCAATTAATATTATAATATATTGGATTATCCTATATTTAAATTGCTTATGTAAGGATATTATTCAGCAATCTTAAGCCTATGTGCAATAACGAGAATCACTCCACTAGAATAATATTATATCGATCATCATACTAAATAGATTAGCAAGTATAAATAATAAGAAGTTTAGCTTATTATTATTAGAATTGCATCATGATCTAAATATTTCCATAAAATGGATCTACCTTGGTCTAGGAATTTATTGATAATCTTTTAGAAGAGATATAAAGGAAGGCCCTTAACCGATAACAGCGTTAAATAATTAAATGTTAAGGGCTAATCAAAAGTGATATTTGATACTATAAAAGAAGGGAAAGGATACTCTTATTGACCTATAGGTAAGTATTATAATATATTACTCTTTCATATATTCTCTCTCATAATAACTAACGAACAATTCACCCATGATCGAAATGTATAATATCATAGGTTTTCCAATTATTAAGGTACTCTTATTGAATATATTTCTAACCACATTGATATCTTTTGGTATTCTAAGATATCACCTTTTGAATGGGTGAATGACTTGGCTTAGGATTCAAATTGGTTCATCGATTATTAGTATTTTTACAAATAATACTCCCTAATACTCACTTTCATAGAGCCTACCATGTAGAGGGATATCATTAAACGATTGAGATAGTGGGCATAAACCTTTTGTTCTAATAAGTTACGAGTCAACAAAGGGACTATTAACCAATGTCAAACTTAGTCCAAAATATCCAATGTTTCAATTAATAGAATTCACATTTTAGATCAAATAGGAAATTGTTTCCTAATTTTTATTAATATCATATCATTAGAACTTTTAAAGAACCAATTTATGTTTTCATAACTATTTCCCAATGAATCAAGAATTCTTTAACCTAAGAGGTGGTCATGTTGCCCTTTCTCTATCTCCCTCTTTCTATATTATCTCTCCCTTCCTCTCTTTATGTAATTGTTTTGAGAAGGGCCTAAGCTTGGGATTATGTTATTGGGTGATTCCTCTCTCTCCCCTCTCTCCCCTACTAGATTATAAAGGCCCCCTCTTCTCCCATTATAGTTGTCTAAGGTATTATACCGTCAAAATTTTGAATTAACCTTTCTTACTATATGTGTAGAAATATTAAATGTCCTAATTAGGTCAAAAATCAATTTATAAAAGAACATATCCTAAAGAAGCACTCATACTATAATAGTTTAGGGGACCATTAGATGTAGGTTTTTTGGCCAAAATCACCCTTATAGGAAGGGAGTATATACTCTCTCCTTTAATACATGCCAAGCATACTCTTCATTTCTTATCAATGTGATTAGACCATTAGATGTAAGTATTCCCTCTTATTTATAACAAATCTAGCTACGAGAGTGAGAGAGAGGGGGAGAGAGTGGGAAAGGAGAGAGGAGGAGAGATAGAGAGAGTGGAAGAGAGAAATGGGTAAGGAGATAAAGGTCCTTGAATAAGTTATTAAGCTATTATCTCTTGGACCTTTCCCCCTCTCTTTGGAAAGGGAAGTCCAAATGTATCACATGTTTTGGAACTTTCTCCATTCTCTAATATGAAATTCTTATGTTCCATTAAATCTACTTTACTAAAAAAGTAGGACTTAGCATCAATAGTTTACCGACTATTAGGATAATTTAGAATAACGACAAAACTAGATTTGAATACAAGCTAACTTAAATTCACTACAAAAGAAAAAGCTTAATTTCCCCTGTAATATCCATCATAATGCCTTAACGTATAGACCAAAATGGTATAAGGTATTGCACATTTAATTGACAATGCTATGACTATTCTTAATATATTTCTCTCAATATTAGTCCATTTCTATTTTAGATATTTTTTGATAATTCTATGACTTGAGACATTTAATGATATCATTTATATAAATTAGATTATTAAAACTATTTGAACGGGCTTATGTGTGTGAACCATATCCGAAATAGCTAAGGCCAATTCCCGATCAGCCGCTTAAAGGAGAGATGGTCATTTGATATTAAAACAAGTTTAAGTTTAATATTATCAAGCAAGAGCTACTCTCCCTGCTACTAATAGGATTATAGCCAAAAATTACATGTTAAGAAATAGTAAATCCTCTATCATGAGCCTAATGAATAATCAAATGCTTACAAGTATTTGCTTGTGCTATGGATCCTTTTTCAAGGGTATCTCTAATAGTTGATTAAAAATATTCCATAATCCCTATAATATGGGAAGTTTCCCCTCTACACTAAACTATCTCTCACCATCTCTCCTCTATTAAAGGGTTGTTTTTAACCTTTCAATAAATATAGCCTCAAATCATCGAAGAGGAGAGAGGTCATATAATGAGATCATGAGCTACAATGATACATCAAGGTATTGAATAATACTATGATTGGGATTATCTCTCTCTCTCCTCACCTAACTATAACGTCATGGAACCATATTGATTATAATTGGTATATTAAATAGTCATAATATTTGTTATTCATTTATTAATAAATTGCATGTTTGAATACCAAGTGAATCAATATGATATTGGATAATATTAAATTACTATAATATTATTCAAATATAATAAGATATTAACTAAATTTATCATAACTATTAGTGCAAAGCATCTCTCTCTCCAAGATCTAAAATCTATTATATCAGAGCTACTCTCTCCACTACTTATAGACCAATTCAAAAGGATAATTTAGAAAGGGGAGATCTTCAGTTTTTATTACAAAGTCAATGTCCATTCTTGACAATGCTATGACTTAGGACATTTAACTATAGTATAGAAAGACAAGTGAGACATCAACAAGTTATTTAGTCTAAGAAGAGAGAGATATTCATTGAAAGATTCCCTATTTTTGTGAAGGTTATCAAGAATAATACACAAGGATTGGTATTACTCCTCTTGTGGGATATCATTTGATCCTAGAACATATTCTGGAACTTAACACATCCTTTAAATATTTAGGATGAATAGCCACCCTTGTTTCAATAGTTGAGTTCAATTTAATATATTCTGGTTAGAAATAACCAAAATATATTAAATTGATATTGCTACAAGTATTATAGGGCATAATAAACTGATCAATTAATATTATAATATATTGGATTATCCTATAGTTAAATTGCTAATATAAGGAGATAATTCAGCAATCTTAGGCCTATGTGCAATAAGAGAATTGATTCACTTCTTCTAAAAGATCATCAATAAATTCCTAGACCAAGGTAATGTTATTAATGAGCTAAAATTAATATCTATAGGTTCACCTACTTTGATTGATGACATATTATTTAGACTATCTTTAAAACATCCATATCTCTCTCTCCCATATATGAAAATATTGGCCTAAGAGAGGTAGGTGGATGACTAAGATAGGACATGTCATTCCTTGTACACTAAAGTTATCACATTGCACTTAGATGAATGTCTACTTAAGAAATCTATGGCTATAGTAGGAGTACACCAATAGATATTGTTTTGGCCATCGATCAAAAGATAATTGTAACTAATCATAGGCCAGATTCATCGATTGATGGACATATATATCATTTAGAGGCATTTTAATATTGAAAATTCTTCCCTCCTCTATCCACTATCTCTCCCTAATAGTTCAATTATGTAGACCTCTCTATCTCATGAACACTCCCTATCTGCTTTTCTCTATCCTTGGGTAACATGCATTGGGATGGGCTAGGGGTAAAATAACTTAGGCACTCTACATGGGATTCTTGCTAATTCTTTCTCTAATTTAGCAAGAATCCCATTGAGTGTATGGAAATACTTAGAAGAAGTGATATCATTGAAATAAATATTCTTTTACTCCGGCATGGTTAATCTTAGCTATTCTCCTTGAACCAATTTGTTCTGCATATACATTAGAGGATTCACATATTATATTGATTATTACAATAATATATTCGACTTAGCTTAGGCAAGTTCCCCCTTCAATGAATCCATTCCCCCCAAGAATTTATCTAAAATGATTCTCAATTCATGGAGAATGTGAATTTGAGAGAGTGGGAGATGATACCGTATAAATTGGTTAATAGTCAAGGTCATCCCGATTAGTTAGGGTCTTATTCACCAATATTTCTTTAATTAAAAAGGAGAAAAAGTTACTAATTGATAAAGACCTTATACATAGAGATGTATATGGGCCTATGTTCACCCAAGCAAGAGAAGAACATGCTTGTCACATAACCTTTAATGATAGTGGATCATGTTTTGGTTATAAGACATAAATCCAAAGCATTAGATAGACATTGTCAATTAATCCATGGCCCAAATGACTCTCTCCCTCACAAGTTAATTGATCAAGACATAGTGAGGGAGATACCTATTCATGGTTATATTTATAGTTTATCAATATTACTTTGGATAGCTAACTCATTCTAAGCTTATTATTGAGGAGGTAGGGAGAGAGAGGTAGATACCTATTCATGGTTTTCTCTCCCTCACAAGTTAATTGATCAAGCTATCCTTATCATCGATTGACTACCTAACACACACGAGATAATAAGCATTACACACAAGAATTAATAGACAATATATGCATGGCATCCCCATTTGAACACATGGCTAGTTCTTTTATTTCACATAGATTGGAGCCTTGAAAAGCTTGTTCATAAGACTTGCTTGGCAAAGGCACACTGTCTAGGGTTAATTATATTTAATAACATTAGAGATCTCCCAATATTGATCAAATGATACAACCGACTCAATCAAACGTAGTGAAATAAAAGAAGATATTAACAGCTTAGTAAATATACTATGTAATACTATTAATCTTAGAAAGCACCGAACTTCCTCTTAATTTGTCAAATAAATCATAAATCCGGATAGTTAGATATTTGTTCTCAATTGTCAACCAAACTATGTCCCCAATATTGGCCTATCAACTTATTTCTCTCCACCTAGGTTATCTCCCTAATTCTTACAATTAGAAAGAGAAGGAGGGAGAGACCAAAGTTTGTCAACCATACTAGGAATAAAGCCTATGAAAATGTGTTTCATTAGTATGCCATGTATCAATGTGATTGAACCATGGGTGAAAGGTAAGGATAAATTGACCTAGTTTTATAATGGTAATCCTTTGCATTGAATTTGCTCGACTTAGCTTTCATGTAACAAAGAGTATGGAGTCATTAGAAGTCTTATGATAAACCCAATATACGAACATTCTGTTAACCTTTGATAGGTTTATAAGATTATCAACTATTATTAAAACAACATTAATTTCTCTATAATATTAATCATTATATATATGATCTTGGATAATATTAAATTACTATAATATTATTCAAATATAATAAGATGTTAACTAAATTTATCATAACTATTAACCAATATATGATAAAGTGGTAAAGCATGTTAGGAACATTGGTCAATTTAAACCAAAATTAAATAGGAGTATCAAACTTATTGGTCCATTAACAGTTATGATAAATTATCATTGTTCCAATATTCATATATTCTAATTAGGCTTTAAGGTATGAAGGAGATAACCAAGTGGAGAGAAATAAGTTGATATGCCAATATTCATCTCCTTGATGTGGAATTCTATATAATGTTGGCATACGATCAAAACTCATCGATGTCAACCATGACTTAGGGGTGATTGTGACTAAACAACATTATTTAGGCCCTTAAAATCGGCTTTTACTATCTTTCGGGATGATGCAAACCAATTATGTTACAATGTTGCAATAGAAAACTTTGTGAGATATCCAAAGTAACATGATTATAAATCGGGGCTTTGGGGAATAAACACTTTTTACTACAACCTTTTATAATAATAAGTTTATAGCTAGATAAATCATATAAAATAAGAACTATTATTTTTATTAAAGGGAGACCAACTATTAACAAAGCGAGTTAGGGTTGGTGTATATCCATTAAACTGTGGGAGTTAAATTGCTTATAATCAACAAATATACAATTAAACTACCATGATTCACCTATGACATCTTATTAACAAAAGAGGGACAGAAACTTATGGTAATGGGCCTAAAGTGGATATATCTTAGGGGACATATTATAACGATTCGAAGATAGAGGGATAGAAACTTATGGTAATGGCCCCAAAGTGGATATATCTTAAGGGAAATATTATACCGATTCTAAGATAGGTTTATAGCCCCCTTCATTCTTTCATCCTAATTTAATAGGAGGTCCCTATTTCACAACGGGTTAAGAATATGCAATTTAGGATTATTTTCTAAATATAACCCATATTCTATTCTCACATTAATGGATATAAGACTAAACTGAACTCTTACCAATATAGTTAATGAAATATCTTTAGTATTGGATTACTCATTGGGCATAATACTTCTATAAAGCTCACATTATCCAAATAGATATTCTAGGGAGGAATATTATTGGGCCTTAAATCTATAATGTACCATGAGAAAGTTTGTCCTTCTAACAATAATAATCCTTGTAATATTGTACCATTGATCTAGTTATAACGAGGATTTGTTGTCACCCTTGAGTTATTAATATATATCTCTCTCACCTTTTAATATATTAATTCCCCTTAGTATAAATACTTTATTGGTGTGTTACCATGATTTTTTATCTTTATAATCAAGTGGTAAGGAGAATTATGAAAGGATTACCACATAGTGTTTGATAGTTGAATGGAGGCAAGGCTCAATGTTGTGGTAACATAATTTATGTTCGGTATGAGGGAGAAAAAATAACATAATTGTTCCCTTTTTGTGGGAGTATCATATAGGAGAATAATTTTCATGGTATAATTCTTCCTGTTTAGGGAAGTATCACCATAATAGGTGAAGGTAATATATAAGAGCTGATTACCCAAATGGATAGCCGAATACTATAAGATTATGATAGACATGTACTATTAGTCTATCAATCTATTATAGTTTACCCAAACTCATGAACTATTCTCTTTATAGGCATTGACTCGGTAAAGGATTATACAACCCATAATATGAATAGATTTACCAAATGTTGCAATTTGTCGCAATCTTAGATTATTACTAATTTTATAATAATATTTCGTAATATTCCCATAATTAGGGAGCGCAATTATATATTAAATAATTTGTCCATATTGATTTCAAATTAACATAGGGAGACATAAGAGATAAACGCTAATTGGTATCTTTTGGGCCAATTCACACTGAAACTCTGTTTATTAATACTAATCTAGACATTAAATGGGAGAGTTTCCTTCATGTTTACTTGATATAACACATTATATTCGTATACCAATCGATTCTCTATTAGGAACAGTGAGTAGGTATCTCACTTACCCTCCCAATTTAAAGACCACCCAATAACCATTAATAGGGAGATATGATTTAACCTAAACATATCGGTACTTTATATGCCTATATTTTATATCAAGGGACTTTATATGGGATAATGTGTTATATCCATCAATAGGGCTACTTAGTTTATTAGCTATAGGAATGGTGTAACTTCAGGAAAATAATTCCACTTGGGAAGATATGGTTTAACCTAAACATATAGGGACCCTCTAGTGAGTAGGCCAAGGCCTTATAAAGTTCTCTTATGGACAACCTATTAATTCTAATTTATTGACTTTTAATTATAATTGATTAAGGAGATATTACTCTTTCTCGTGACCTCTCCCTCACTTACCGTCCCAATTTAAAGACCACCCAATAACCACTTATGTCTAATCTATTAGAATTTACTCTAGTTTAATTTCCCATAACTAAATGGGAGATTGTCCCACTATGGTATGTTAATATTACCATGGTATTTTTATATAGGCTCTTAGGCCATGAAGGGAAAGGAAGGGTTATTGAAAAGAGTTAACATATTTATTATTAATATTCTACCCATTTTTATAATATGAACAATTTTAATTGAAAAATACTAAAAAAAGTTTAAAAATTAGGGAGGATATAGCCTCCTATAAGGTCATGGTTGGTATAATCCATCTTGTATATTTGTAATACTATAATTTTGTTAAATAGTGAGCTGATTAGTCTCAATTAATAGGTTATCCCTATAATATCCATTCAAATTATAACCCTCTCAGTATTGTATATACTTAGAGTTGTGGCCATACTATTGTGGGGCAAAAGTATATCTCCTCTCGGGGAGATAATAGTATTGTGGGAACATCTTGGTATATTGAATCCTAAGGTATTATATCCCCAATATTAAGTATTTTAATCTATGCACATATCAAGTGTACTTTTAGTATTGCTTGAGGATAACTATACCCTTAGTGAGCGATAATTTGCAAGAGTAAGGCATATCTTAGTTGTGAATATATATTGAGGGTTAAATTGTAATGAGACCTAATAAATATTGATGGCCTAGACTATGTACATGGTACCAACCTATCATTAGGAGATATGGCATAATTGAGAATTGACTCACAAGGTTCAATCATATGGTAACTATAACTAGCATTATAACTTGATATAAGCCTAGGTAATGAGTGGGACAATGGAAGGTGAATTGAAATACTCCCCTATATTAGTTTAAACAAAATATAATTAAGGCATTTAAAAGTTTATAACCTAATACAAATATAGTATTGGTGACCATAATAGTGTTATCCTATAAATCTTACCCGCATGATTTATATTAGATTAAACCTTAATATAAGGGCCTAAATTTGATATTCTTCTTAATTAGATTAAGGAGGATAATATATCCTCCATATTAGGTTAAACCAATAGTTCAATAGTGAGAATATTAGGATAAACTTAACTCCCATTATATGATATCAACGGATGGTCCCTATATAATAAATAGGTTCTCTAATCACTATATAAGGAGGGACACAATAATTGATCCTATATAAGTTTGAACATATCCTTCAATAATATTTAGGATAAAACACTAAAATATCCTCACTATGTATTCATATATTCACTAAGTAATACTGTAAAAGGATCAATAATTTTATACATTTGCATGTATAACCAATATTCCTCTACTACTAGTAATATATTATCAGTTTATCCTCACTAGTCCAAGTGATGATTAGATTATATCATCATGTTAGTGTCTATAGGATCAAAAAATATGATGCGCCGACCTCAATCCATCGACTATTACCCAAATAAAAGTGACTAGGCAAAGTGCACCACGCCGACACTACCTAAACCCTAATCATGTCTCGTACAATGTACTTAAGAAATTAACCATACCTTACATAACAACACTACATATAGAAAATTTTACATGGCATAACTAATTACGGTAACAAAATATTACAATTAGTGGTTGATTACATACGGATTTCATACCCCTAAATTACGGATAAAACTTGTTTCGACTTCCTGTGTTACACATAGCCTCTTAGGAGGAACCGACCGC